TCTGATCTGAACACGAAGCCGCCCTCTGTTGGCCTTCCATGTTCAGAGGATAGATGATCCACTCGACGAACTCCCTGCACAGCCCCCTGGACAACTCGGACAACCCACGACAGGGGACGCCCTGCCCTGGACAACCCCGTGGGCAACGGGATCCAGACCCCCCCCCCCCCTCACAACCCCCCGAAGCCTCCCCAGGATTTTCCTTTGAGGGATGAAAAAACGGCCCTACCCTCCGTTACAAATGCGTGGTCTGAAAACCTCCTGGAAACCCCCACAGCCTAGAGCCGCCAGGACGCGGCACATCACGCAGGGTTTACCCTGGCAGCCCACAGGAGTTTCAGCGCACAACGCCTTTTAAACCAGGGTAGGGGCGTTTGTTATCCCCTTGATTCCTCTTCCGCCAGATCTGGCGACCGTGGCCAGCCCACACAAGACTGCCTTCTTCCACGACAAGTGCGCTGCGCCAGCGCGCGGCGCCCGAGCCCCTTTCTGTGTGGAGACGGGGCCGCCCTCCACCCCTTGCACCGCACCTGCTGGGGAGTGCGCGCGGCGCCGAGGCGCAGGCCCCCCCTTGTCGCAGGAGGGGCCCGGCTGCACCCCCCGAGCTCGCCATCGCTCGGACGTCCATTTCCCGTGCATGTTTCGGTTTCGTGCGTGTTTTTGTTTGCTCGATGGTCCAGGATCGTCCTCCATGGTTCTCGCCGAGAAAAAATGCACACGTCCGAGCGATGCCAGGCGAGAAGCTGCGGCACACTTGCACGACGACTGCGCGCGGCGCCAAGGGGGGCGCCGAATGTCAAAGCAGGGGCCGGACTCCACGCCTGCAGCTGCAGCAGCCCTTTTGAACGCATGTGCGCGGCGCCGCAGCCATCGCGCTGCGAGCAGGAACTCCGAATAAGGAATGAAGGGGCCTGTCTGCCCGTGGCGAGCCCCGGCCACGAACACGTTACCCGACCTGGATCTGAGGAACGGCCCAGAAATTCAGAGGCCCAAAAGTGATCCCAGGTGGTCCTTCTTGCAGCGTCTTGGCTGTACAGTCGGGCTGCTGAGATAAGGAACGCTACATACGGAACGGAGCCCCCCTGTGGCTTCAAGCAAGCCTGGGTGCACGAGAAGGGCTAGAGGAAACACCACGGAAGGACGTAAGGAACATCGAGCCCCTTCCGAATCCAAACTCTTCCTTATTGCAGCGTCTTGGCGGTCAGGCGAGAGCACCGTTTGGAAAAGGCACCACGAGCCATACGTCAGGCAGCTGCGAACTCTTGGGGCGAATGTACGCGGCGCTGGGGCGAGAGCACCACTTCCGAAAACGACCTGTGCTCCGTCTCTGGAGCTATTGTAACGCTGGCCATCGCTCGGACGTCCATTCCCTGTGTGTTTTTCGTTTTCGTGCGTGGTTTTTTCGCCAAATGATTAAGGATGCTCCTCGATGGTCCTCGCCGAGGGAAAAATGCACACGTCCGAGCGATGCCAAGAACGTGTAAGGCCGAGTGCGCGCGGCGCTGTGGCGAGAGCCTCAACTCGAGCCAAGCACACAGACACGCATCCTTGTCCTTGAGGCTGCTGCAGACTTGCGCACGAACGTGCGCGGCGCTGAGGCGAGAGCCCAGATTCACTCCCCCCCACCCCCTTCACCCGAATAAACCGCTGCACGCCCAAAGATTCGGGATCGTGAATCCAAGAGAAGGGCCCGGCGAAAAGCCCGGCCTACCCTACCGACACGCCTGGGGATGCGACAGGGCGGAGGTACCTAGAAGGAGAACGGATGGAGGAGGGTGGAGAGGAGGAACCAGGGGAGGAGGAAGGAGAGGGAGAAAGACGACGACGACGAGGAGGAACCGAGAGGAAGAAGGATGGGGAGAGGAAGGAGGAGAGGAGAACCCGAGGAGGAGAATCGAGGATCGAGGAGGCGGAGAGGAATAGGGTGGAGGATCGTCCTCCTTCCTCCTCCCCCACTTCTCCTTCCCCTCCCCCCGCGCGCGCACGTTGGAGCTGGCGGGGGGGAGGAGGAAGGGGATCGAGGATCGAGGATCGAGAGGAGAATCGGGAGACGGGGGAGAGGAGGGAGAGGAGTGGAGGATGAGTGTCCTAGACCTCCTCGCGCTGTGGACAGAAACATGACGCGGGGTGTTTGATAGGTTCTAGCATCCTGGGACCATTTTCGGGCCAGGGCCATCAAACAGAAACTCGGGATGGACAGTCTGGTGCGTGGAAGGGGTCCAGTCCTCTGGGAGCCAAGTGGTAGCAAACATCAGCCCGTCGGCGGTATGGGGAGGACGATCAGGGATCAAGCATCGGGGTGTGGATCGGGAGGAGCGGGGGGGAGTATAGCGAGAAGGAAGAAGGCTGGGATGACAGGGGGAGGAGGAGTGAGGAGAAGGCGGAGGAGGGAGGGAGGAGAAGAGGGAGGGAGAGAAGGTGAGGACGAGGACCTAGGAGGAGGATCGAAGATCGACATCGAGGATCGATAAGATGGAGGAGGAGGAGGAGGAGGAGGAGGAGGAGGAGGAGGAGGAGGAGGAGGAGGAGGAAAAAAGGAGGAGGAGCAGGAGGGAGGAGGAAGGAGGAGGAGGAGGAAAAGGAGGAGGAGGGGAGGAGGAGGAGGAGGAGGAGGAGGAGGAGGGAGGAGGAGGAGGAGGAGGAGGAGGGAGGAGGAGGAGGAGGAGGAGGAAGGAGGAGGGGGCGAGCCTGAGGATCGAGCATCGAGTCAGGAGATGGATACATGGGGGAGGAGGGGAGGAGGGAGGATAATCGAGGATGGAGGTTCGGGGCGTCCTTGGCACAGTGGCCCCCTGGGAGCTCCATGAGGCTTCGGGAATAGGAGACGGGAGAGGCACCGGGGAGGAGGGGGGAAGTGGGAGCCGGGGAGGGAGAGGAGGCAGGCAAAGGAGCAGGAGGAGGAGGTAGCCAGCCCCCGAGGATGTACCGAGCGGAGGGGGGGGCGAAGGGAGGAGCATGGAACAGGCAGGGGGGTAGGGGGAGGGGGAGGGAGAGGGAGGGAGGGGGACGGGAAGGGAGCAGGAGAGGGGAGGAGGAGGAGGAGGAGGTGGAGGAGGAGAGGAGGAGGAGGAGGAGGAGGAGAGGAGGAGGGAGGAAGAGGAGGAGGAGGGGGAGGAGGAGGAGGAGGAGGAGGAGACGGAGAAGGACAAGGAGCAGGAGGAGGAGGAGGAGGAGGAGGAGGTGAATCGCACTGCCCATCACAACCCGAAAGGCCCCTGGCCCTTGACAACGGGCGTCTGACAGCAATTGCTCCTGACGCGGGCGGCGCAAGCTGCCAGGGCTACGCCTGCGGGCATCGAGCGCAGATGAGCAGGCGGAGGAGAGGGAGGAGGGGGAAGTGGAGGGACAGGAGGGGGGAGGAGGGGGAGGAGTAGGAAGATGGGGAAGGAGAAGGGGGAGGAGGGGGAGGAGGTGGAGGAGTGGAGGAGGTGGAGGAGGGGGGGAAGGGTGGGGGAGGAGGTGGAGGGAGAGGACGAGGGAGAGGAGGAGGACAAGCTAGGTGCGCTCGCGTCATATCTGACATCCTACCCATCCCTCCCATCCCTTACTATGGCGTAGATCCCCTCTCTACTCGCACAGTCGGATGTCGAGCAGGGCAATGATCCCAAAAGGGTACGCGATGCATTGTAGAGCACGGCATGGCATGGCGTAGAAGAGCACCGCAAAGCGTAGTATCAACCTAGCATTGCATTGAATGCCGTGGCATGGCACGGGAAATGACGCCAGCGCTGCAGCGGGAGCACGAGTCGGAACGAGCGGAAGCGCGGAAATGAGGCCAGCGCTGCAGCGGGAGCACGATCGGAACGAGCGGAAGCGCGGAAATGAGGCCAGCGCTGCAGCGGGAGCACGATTCGGAACGAGCGGGGCCCGAAAATGAGGCCGGCGCCTCAGCGAGAGCAGCATTTTGGAAAAATGCAGGCGAAAACCCAACTCCGGGGAATCCGGTGTGTAAAAAACAGTACGGGGGGGGGAGTACTTTCAAACCGTCATCGGGGGAAGAGGTAGAGTAGTATTAATATTGAGTAATTGTGGAGGAGGAGGAGGGGAGGAGGAGGAGGAGGAGGAGAAGGAGGAGGAGGAGGAGGAGGAGGAGACGACAAGGAGGAGGACGACGACGACGAGGAGGAGGAGGAGGAGGAGAGGGGGCGGGGGGAGGGAGGAGGAGGAGGAGGAGGAGGAGGAGGAGGAGGAGGAGGAGGAGGAGGAGGAGAAGGAGAAGGAGGGACGACGAGGAGGAGGAGGAACGGAACGTAAAGAGGACAGGAAGGAGTCGAGGAGGGGCGGCGGCGGGGGCCAGCAGTGACGCAGGAGGGGCGGAGAGAGCGGACGGAGGAAGATTGCCAACACCCGGAGCGTCGAAGAGGGGGCGTCCAAGAGGGGGGTTTGCAAATCATGGCCCGAGGAATGTGCGGGGCCCAGGGGACTTACTGGAATAAGAGGAGGCGCCATGAAGTCTGGGGAGATACCATGGCCCTGGCCATGGTATCCTCCCCCATCTGGTCATCAACCCCCTCCTGGCCGCCTCCGACAGCAGGAGGTGGCAGCCGACTGTTTCTTCACGGAGATAGTGATATAATCAAGGCGGCATACGTGGAGCGGCAAGAGCGCGACACGGGGTCGAGCCCGTCCTCCCAAATGCGGCTCCCCTGACTTCCTCCGCGCCCTCCCCTCCGTGGCCATTTTGGCTCGGGCCGCTCCTGGGGCTCCTGGATCCCTGCACCATGGCGCGGGAGATGCGGACCGGTGCCGCTGCAGCCGACAGCGGCTGGACCGCGAGCTGCGGGAGGCGCGCGCCCTCGTCGCCGGCCCTCGCGCGCGCAGCCCGTGCACGGCACGCAGGGAGGCACAGCGCAGCAGGCGGAGGACCTTCGCTGGCGCAGGCGCGCCCCCGGCGGAGCGCGGCCCCGCGGACGTCGTGAGGCCCGTGGGCAGCGCCCGCGGCGGCGCGGCGCGGCGCCGGCGGAGCGGCGCCGCGGCCAGAGCGGGGGGCCGCGCCTGCC